ACGTGCTCACCAGTGGCACATGGATGTGCATTTGCCTCCTGTGCTGTGAGCTGAGCCTAGAACGCTCAGTGCATGCACATTGTCTGTGTGTTTCTGAAAGCCCACTTGTGTGATTTTTTTTAGAGTGCTGCAGAACTAAGAGTGAACTCATATTCTATGAGCAGCCCTGAGGAAGGCAGATCAGATCACGGAACCAGTGATAGCAACCCAGAACCTTCCAATGGGAAGGTTAAATTTTACTCCACAACACAGTAGTAAATTTTCTAAAGTGAAATATTTTGACTACAATGTGAAAATCAGTAACAGCTGTGTTTTTATCTTCCATACTGAAAAAAATGTTTGCTCAACTGTCATGAAGAAAGGATATGCTTCGATTTGAACCATTCAATTTTAAAGTGTATTCTCGAGTATTCTGTGCATCCTACCTAACCTTGCACCCAGGACAGTTTAGTAATAAATGATTTTTAAGTAATACCAGCACAGTTTCTTTCAAAAAGCTTCATATATTAGTAAAACCCCCACTTTTTTGCAAAAAAAAAGTCATAAAATCTGTGATTACTAGGCAGTGAAATACTGTACATTAAAGCACAGAATGCTTATCAGGAGGGTAGGATAAGCAAAATTAAGAAAAACAAGTGAATTTATCTAAAGTGGAGGTAATATGCTGTTTTGGTATAGCTGGACATGAGATTAGACGAATGAAAGTGGAGAAGATTTTAAAAAAACACTGACTCAAGAAAAATAAAAAATACAATACGCCAGCCACAGAACTGGCCTTATTGAGAAGAGAGTTTTGGCAAATCCACTCAGCAAATTCCTATCCCAGAAACACAGTGCAGCCTAGAATGGAAACGCCTATCGTTCCACGATTGGTTGTTATGGGTTTCTGTCTAACTGGTTAGTGAACATTATTAACCATCAATGGGTGGCTTTGCTCCTTCTGTCTTATCCTCAACACCCTCCAACTGGAAGGTGAGGAGAAGTGAGGGTAGAAATACAGAGGTTTTGGGCAGAATCTTCCCTGAATGGACTAGATCCTCACAGCTCGCAGTACCTACCCTCTAATGCAGGATATCACAGGGGACTTGCAGCTGCCCGGCTGGCCTGTCGTCAGCCTCATCTGCCTGTTGATCTCTCTGCCAGGGCTTCTGCAAGTCTTCTCCACTTCCTTCAAGCTCCACTTGTCATCTCAAGAGAACTCCTCCCTGTTTCCCAGTGTAGATTCCCCGTGCATCTCTGGGATGATTGGCTGCCTCTTGGAGATGTGAAGCACGATGACCTAGGTTTCTTCCTGTCCTCCTCAACCTCATTTCTTCACTGTCCATCTCACAGTTTGAGGCCAAGTCTTTATGACTTTTCACCTCGTCTCTTACCCTCTCACTGTTCACTCTTACAGCCTTTCCTACCCGAGTAGTCCCTGATACTGTGGACAGGTTAGCTTTATCAACTCAGAGTGTGACTTGGCCCAGAAACTAATGAAGATTTCTCATTGCCGACCTTTTGACCTTTAATTCCTGCCTCCCCACCCCCTGGCTGTATCATTCCAGTCACTTCTCCTAATATATTCAACGTGGATTCACCCAGAGTCTTATTATTCCCCACCTTTGACTCAAGGTTTCTTATCTCACTGCCTCTGCCATTTGTTTCTTCCAGTCTCACTACCATTCACCTAAATTTTAATAACAGAATTCAATCTGCCTTTCAAAGTTCACCTCAAGGACTCTTTCCTTCATGAAGGCTGTACTGATCTCTCCAATAGGAGATGAGTGTTCCTTCTTCTAAACCACCAAGGCTAGATTTTTAAAAATTCTCTTTTCATTTACTATCTTCCCTTACAATCGAGGCTCTCAGTTCATTCTGAGTCAAGTGGGTTACTTTCTAAAACTAGCTATGCCAGGCCCCACTCAGAGACTCTGACTCAGTAGCTGGAGTAGAGTTGTCGTAGGGCTGGCTGCTCTAACAAAATACCATGGACTTATACACCACAGGAATTTATTCTCCTCTCACAGTTCTGGAGGCTGGACGTCCTAGATCAGACTTCTCAACATATCTTCACATGATGGAAGGGGCAAGAGAGCTCTCTGGGGTCCCTTTTCCAAGAGCACTGATCCCACTCCTCAGGGTTCCACTCTTGTGACCTAATTAGATCCCAAAGCCCCATCTCCTAATACCATCACCTTAAGTGTTAGGACTCCAGTATATGAATTTTGGGTGGGTAGACTCAATATTTGGTCCCTAGAAGAAGACTACTTGTGTGTGTGTGTTTTTTAAGTTGTAGTCAGACAATACCTTTATTTTATTTATTTTTATGTGGTTTTGTGGATCGAACCCAGCACTTCGCACATGCTAGATGAGCGCTCTACCTCTGAGCCAAAACCCCAGCCCCTTATTTGTGTTTTTAATACAGATTCTGATAGAGAGCCAAGGCTGAGAACCTTATTTTGAAATTTCCTTTGGGAGAATAAAGGGGATTACTAGGAATGGTAAATGGAAATGTAGGTTGGAACCATATCTCTGAAGTTTCTTTCTTTCTTTCTTTCTTTCTTTCTTTCTTTCTTTCTTTCTTTCTTTCTTTCTTTCTTTCTTTCTTTCTTTCTTTCAATGGAGATAAGATTCCCTACTTCCCTGGGCAGTTATGAAGCTGAAGGGAGATAGTAAGATGTTAAACATCTAAGGCAGATTCCTATAGAGTGTAGACACTTAATACATGTTTCCCTCACTTGACAGCAGAGACTCCCAGCTTGACAGGGTGTTCAATACATGAAGGTTCATGATATTTATACTCAGTGCAAAAAGAATAAGCCACATACTTAAGAATAAGCCACATACTTAAGTTCCCTAGCTAAACTGAGTATCAGGCAGTAAAGGAAACTCAAGGAAGTTACTTCACCACATGGTGGCTTAACTTTGAAATACTCTTCTTTTTAGAAAAGAGGAACTTTCAACATTGTAAACCCATTCACAGAATGAACACATGTACTAACACAGCTATAACTCAACCACATTCATGATACAAAGGGGACGCCCCACTGGAGAGCTCACATAGAGCTTTTCCAGAGATGAATACCTCTAATTCTCCTGATGCCCTATGAGGGGGATGTTAATGTACCAGTTTTATAGATGTGGAAGATAAGTCTCAAAAGGATTTAGAAGATTTGCCAAATAGTTGTATAAGAAGTGGCCAGACTACAGTTAGAACCCTGTTACTTTAATTTCAACTCCAATGCTGTTTATTCTTCATCACAAGTGGCCCCAACAGTTATCCTGTTAACTTGATCAGAGTGTCTATACATCTATCTTGTTCACAGAGCTCAAAAAGGCATGAGACAGAAGATATTTTGTTTATGTGAGGCACATCTACGCTCCCTCCTACTGGGCCATATAACCCACGGGCAAATTCCCACTCACCCTTTGAGATTCAAGCACATGCCCACTCCAGCCAATTGAATCCATTCTTTATTTTTATAACTAAAGAGAAAATAGACCATGATTATGCAAACGTTTCATCTTTTCAGGCCTAAGAAGCAAAACTGAGCTATAAAAATGCAGTTTGCTATTCTGCTGTGCAAGGGTACCTCAGATGATAAGAATAGTCTGCTGCCTTCAGGACGGGAGGGAGCTGTGTCAGTCAACTTTTTGTCACTGTGACTAAAATAACCTTACAAGAAAAACTTAGAGGAGGAGAAGCTTATTTGGCTCACATTCAGTCCATGGTTAGCCAACTACACTGCTCTGGGCCTGAGATGAGACAGAACATCATGATAGAAGGGTGTGATGGAGGAAAGCAGCTCAGGCAGAGAGGAGAGAGAGAGCACACGCACCAGGGACAAGATGCACTTCAAGGTCCCCAGTGACCTACTTCCTCCAGCTATGCCCCACCTCCTATGATGGTCATCCGGTAGTTCACTCAAATTATTAATCCATCAAATGGATTAATCCACTGATGAGGTTACAGCTCTTATAATCATTATTTCACCTCTGAACATTGCTCATTGCCTAACACCTGAGATTTTGTGGGGAACATTTTTAGATCCAAACCATAACAGTGACCAAGTACTAAAAGAGACAGAAATTTCCTCCATGACCTTGCATGTTTTCTATTTAAAACTAAACCTCCCCCATCTTATTAACTGACTCTGAAACTCATCTTATAGGAAACAGTCTTCCCTAAGTTCACATGGAGGTATAAATGACTGACAGTTCATCTTTTGGGGAGAGAGCCTAAGAGAACTCTGGGTCCCAGGCACAAGAAACAGTGAGTCAACTAAGACTCTCTTGGACTTGATTTCATCTGTAGGATGGAGATAATAACAATGTGTCTTTCCCCAGGCTGAGTGAGCATGGACTGAAGTAATGTGTATACAGTGTGTATGTCTGGGATGTTGTAAATATTTATCAAGTTTCATCATCATTATCATCATCATCATCATCATCATCATCATCATCATCATCAGTATTTTTCCCCTCTGTCATTTCTATGGGAAATCCAGCTCACAGTTTGGGGATTTTCTAATACATTGATTCCAAAGCCACATCCTCTAAATGCTGCTCTGGGACCTCTATACAAAGCCTACTTTGTGACAATGCATTCAGGCACTCAGTCTCCCCACAGAGAGCTAGCGTGGATAAAAACAGAGATTGTGTTGTGCTTCTTGGTCCCAATATGCCTACCACTAATCTAATAATATTCCCCTGCATGAACTAATACAGCCCCAGCATCTTACATAGGCAAAAAATGTAAACCAATAACTTCAGAGTTAGTCCCTTGCTCCTTCTTCTTGACCAGACAATTTTGCAAGAGTAACTAAAACCCCCAAAGCAGAGCTGCAAATTATACTGTCTTTTTTCTGTTGAAAGCTTCAGCCATTTTGAGGTACCAAATCACATTTTAACATTGCAAAAATTGTCAGAGTGTAATGAACCTGTGTTGCTTCATATGCCTGATGCAGCAATTGTTAAAGACATGGCTTTATAAGGGACCAAAAGAGATCAGGGAGCATCACAGGATGCTGAAAACTTCAGTGTACCCATTAGGCTGTACCCAGAGGAGCAGAAAGGAAGGCCAGGAGAGGTAGAATTGAAGAAAAGGCCATGCTTGGTCTGAAGACATTTCCATTTCTGTTCTTACTCCATATGCAGCTCACCAAGGCCTTTCCTGTACCTTCTGAACACTCAGAAGAGAAAAATGCAAAAATTGTTCAGGTAAATTACTTATTAATTAAGTGGGTGGTTGATTTACTAATTATTAGGAAATTGTGCAGGTTTTTCTCTCTCTCTCCAGTCTAAACTGCCTGAAAGAAATGGTCTGAGTGATTTGCTTGAGGTTCCATCTCTCTTCCTTCTAGTGATTTGAAGCGTTCCAAGCTGGCAAGGTCCAGCACTCTAAAATCTAGCCATGAAAACAAACTGGGCTCTTCAAAACTTGAGAAAATACTGCAGCCTCCTCCAGCTGAAAATTCATTTAAAAGTAATGGTTTTCTTTCTTACCTAAGATTTTTTCTCTTCCACTGTATCTGTAATCCAGGTACTACACATCTGGTGCTTCTGATATGGACATTTTTTTTTTTTACATCCAAAAATGTCAGACATATAAGAAAACATGAAGATGGGGGTTATAATGGACTAGAAGTAGCACATGGTGCAATCAGATTTCCCAGCAACAACTGTGAAACGCTTATAAACTCTTGGAAGCATTTTAAAAGCAAAAACCAATAGCTTTTTCCACATTGCTTTGCAGTACGAAAGTCAGGCCAAATGTTTAATAAATACAAGGGAATGTTGTGTAAGTGTTTCTCACACACAATTTTCTTAGCATTACAGTTATAGAACCGCGTTATTCTTATTGTCTTTTGGGGGGTTGGGGTGTATTTCTTACAATAATATCTGTGACCCCAGAGTTAATATCTAAAATCCACTGAGTGCTTACTCTTTACAAGGCACCTGCTGAGTTCATAACAGCCTTGTGGGGGCGGGGAGAAATTATTATTCTTATTTCAGAGACAAAAGTGAATCTTAAATCAAATAAGTAATGTATCCAAGCCTCACAGTTAATCCATGGCAGAGCTAAGATTTGTTCAAACCTATTCAATCTCATAGTATGTGCTCTGTCCTGTGTCACCTTCAAAATGTCAGATTCACAGACCACATGAAATGAGACAGAGTCTCAGGACTGGCTTGTTAACACCTGTCAGAAACTGTACTTTCAAATGATTTTGGGGGGTATTAAGAATTGTAATGTGAAAATAAATAAATGAATAAATAAATTTTAAAAAATGGTTTTGGGCCCCTTCCAAAGGAAATAACTTGGTGACTAAAACATTAATATCAGTGATGCTCCCTTTACCCCCAAACATATTTGGACTTCTTTTGAAATGATCAGTTCTCATTAGAGAGGCAACATGGTGAGTTGGGACCTACATTGTGCCTCACTTCTCTATGCCTCCGCTTCTTCATTAAAATTCTCCAGTAGTTAAAAAATAAAAGGATTAAAATGGAAAATCTGCACTGATGCAACTAATGCCTCAACAGAAGCCAAAAATCTAGTCCTGATTTTTTTTAAATAGAGGTAAGAAGGCAGTTTCCTGACTATAGTAGCTTTTTGCATGTGTGTGACTTGGTCCTGGTCCTCTGTGAACATTCATTTTTGTGCATGGCTGTTAACTGTGTACTACACAGAGGGGGCATTCTTTCTAATAAGCATTGTTCCCTCAAAGTCAACCCATGAATATAAGTTAATCTGTGGCTGTCAGAATCTGAGTTTGAGCTCTGTATTAATTTAGAAACGGTTGCAAAATGCCCAGAGAACTGATGGTAATTTCACAGCAAAGACCCTTATGCTTATTTTATCCAGAATTACCTAGAAAAGTTCTACCAGCTACCAAGCATCCAATATCGGTCTCCAAGGAAGAACAGCCCTAGCATGATTGTAGAAAAGCTCAAGGAAATGCAGCGATTTTTTGGGTTGAATGTGACGGGGAAGCCAAATGCAGAAACTCTGGAGATGATGGAAAAGCCTCGCTGTGGAGTGCCCGATAGTGGTGACTATATGTTGACCCCTGGAAGTCCCTGGAAACACACTGACCTGACTTACAGGTGATACTTCTAGAGCTTCAGAATTTACTCACCCAGCTCCTATGATATGCCAGGCACAAATGGGTAAATGGCCCTGCCTCTGCAGAGAATGAACCGTGAATGAGTCAAGCATGAACTGGGAAAAAGTATGAGAACGAAAGGGTAGTGATCCCATGGTTGTTTTTTGTTTTTGTTTTAATCCAAAGCCTGAAATTTTTTTGTCTTCCTTCTCCACCAATCTAAAGAAGGCTATGGCAATGGGAGGCTGTCTCTCTAGGTACTGACTTTAGGACCAAAAAAAAAAAAAAAAGTCTTAATCATTGCTGGAGAGAATCTGGCCTGTCCTTTCATACATCTCGATAGAAATAACAAGAATACTCAGTATTTGTGAAACACTATTGGTCAAGTAGAAAATTAAATGCTTTATGTGTATTTAATCCCTGCAACAAACCTATGAGAGAAAAATGATGTTATCATCCTCATTTTGCAGGTGAGGACACGGAGACGTAAGGATATGGCATACTCTGTACCTGTGTCTGCTTTTAACCCAGAGGCTCGCACTCCCTCCTCATCCTCTTTCCAGTGGTGGCACCTTACATATTCAAGTCTCACATAAAGAGTGACTTGTCTGCCAATGGAAGGCTGTTCCCAGCAGTAACTGACCCTTTTTGCTCCTTCTCATTTTGAAGGATTATAAACTACACCCCACAGTTGTCAGAGGCTGAAGTGGAAACTGCGTTTGAGAAAGCCTTTAAAGTCTGGAGCGCTGCATCACCTCTGACCTTCACCAGGGTATCACAGGGAGAAGCAGACATCAATATTGCTTTTGCCCAGAGAGGTAGGCTCAAAGAACTCATGCTCAGTTTTGCATCCCTGGCTAACCTAAGATGTGAAAAGGACTTAACTAATTGTTTTATTTCAGATCATGGTGATAACTCTCCATTTGATGGACCCAATGGAATCCTTGCTCATGCCTTTCAGCCAGGCCAAGGTATTGGAGGAGATGCTCATTTTGATGCAGAAGAAACATGGACACAAACTTCTAGAAGTAAGTTAACCAAGATTATGTCTACTTGCAGCTTATGAATTAACTTTGCACATTAGAATCTACATACATATATGTGTACACACTCCCAACTTATTGTAATATTTCAAACTCTTGCAAATGATCATTTAAAAATTTTGCTACCTTAAAAAATTAAGTCAATTTGAGTTTAAAAAAATTCCAAAACTAAGTATTGACCTTATTTCCTAGGGTACTATCATAGTCTGTTTGGTCTACTATAACAGAATACCTGAGACTTGGTAATTGATGAAGAAGAAAAATTATTTCCTCATGATTTTAAAGGGTAGGAAATCTAAGATCAAGGTGCTGGCATCTGTTGAGGTCTTTCTTGCTGCATCCTCACATGGTGGAAGGCAGAAGGGCAAGAGAGGAAAGAATGAACTCGCAGACTTATTAAGAGTATTAATCTAAACTTTCCATTAGGCCCCATCTCTCAACACTGTTGTATTGGGGGTTAAGTTTGTATCACATGAATTTCTGAGTAACACATGCAAACCATAGCAGGCAGGGATCAGAAAACTACAAACCATGGCCAAATCCTGCCTGGCCCCTGTTTGTGTAAATAAAGTTTTATTAGAGGCAGGACAGGCTCATTTGGCTATGTATAGGCTAAGGCTGCTTTCATTCTGCAACAGCAGAGCTAAGTAGCTGTGACAGAGACTATATGGCTTACACAGCCTAAAAGTTTACTGACCAATGTTTTAGGTCATATTCTTTTTTAATATTATGAAATATAATGGTATTTGAAAAGACCTACTGTCCAATTTTTTGGAAATTCAGAAATAATTTGGTTCACTTGGGAAGTTATCCTATTTAGAAAAAAGTAGCCACATTTTCTCACTTAGTTTCATTTTCAGGAAGCTCTTTTTCAATGGTATGTTCCTATGCAGCAAACCACTCCTTCCAGGAGACTCCTCATAACTAGAAGAGCAAGGCCACCTAAAGGGAAGAAAAGAGTTGAGGACAGGTGTATGCAGACAATGTGGGATTTAACAAAGCCATCAGGTCACAATGTGCCAGAGAGCCCATTTCAGAAAATGACAGGAAAGGCTCCTTCTATCTTTTTTGGGACTTGTTCCTCCCTCCATTTTCTCCACATATATGTTGTGAGTGTCTACTCAAGTCCCTGTGCTAGGAGATGTGTATACCCGAAGATAAATAATAACTCTCCATGACACGATTCCTCCCCACTAGTAGTCTTCCCCACTAGTTCGGGCTCCTCATTTCTTACCTCCACTTAATGATTCAAATTCCTAACTCGACTCGCCCCCTTCAGTCTCTGCTCCCTCTAATTTTTCCCTGCAGCATGGTCTGTCTTTGGAAAGCCCATCTTAGATCACATGACTCTCCTGCTTAAAAGTTTCAGTGTTTAGATAGTCTGCACCAAATCGGATCTAAATACCTTCACTTGGCATGGAAGCCTTTTCATGATTGTCCACCCTCATCTGTGACTTGTCTTCACATTTCAAATATACCAGTCACACTGTGCATGGACCATTTCTAGAACACATTTCATGCTTCCCATCTTCCCTACACTTGCTCACATTGTTTTCTCTCTTTAAAACGTCCATTTTCTTATCCCAAACCCTATCTTTAAGAATCTCCCTCATCTAGCCATGCTGTGACAAAAGCCACAGTCTAGCTTGTCTTCGGCGGGAGATGAGGCCTTCCCCCTGAGAGCCTTTGTTTCTCCTCTCTGTTCTCACACATTTTTCTGTGCCTTCAAGTTGTTTGCACACATATCTCCTCTTCTAGATGATGCACTCCTGGAGAACAAAGAACCCCTGAAAATCTCACACAGCCCCTCACTCGGTACCCAGGCACTCAAAGATGTTTTCTGAAAGGTCTTGAAGGCCAGGGAAAGGTGCTTGGGCTTTGTTTGATGGGAAATTTTAAAGTTCTTTGGTATGAAAGGCACTATGTTCATGGAAGTTAGAAGATGGGGAAAGGGAACAAGAGAGGGTGGCTTTGCCTCTCTCTGGTGAAAATTAATTCCTAGAGCTGCTTGGAGAACATGGACACAGGGAGAAGCCATCCTAGGCTATGGATGACCAGGGAGTGAATGAGAGACATCCCTGCATCTCAGTCTCCCCTACTGCCTGAAGGCTTCCTTCCTAACTGCCCATTTACTAAGACCCTACTAATGAGCCGGAGGGTCTAGGCACTGGATAGTGGGTGTGGGGGAGCACAGGAGGATAAATTTTTCTCCAAGCCTCAGTTCCATGTCCACAAAGTGTGGGGACTAGAATAAAAGCAGCTTTTCTTAGTTCTAAGACTTGATAAGAAGCTCAGATTCACCTCCTCCACACCTTTGGCTCTTCCCTAGATTCCTCCCACTCCCCATTTCTTCAGATACCTAAGAGAAGATGTAAAAGGTGATCACGGGAAATGTCGCTTGTCTTGGAAACTGAATTTCTAGAGATCATGCTTCTTCCATGTGGAATCCTCCTGAAGTCATTCACCACGCCTGCTTGTATTTCAGATTACAACTTGTTTCTGGTTGCTGCACATGAGTTCGGCCATTCCTTGGGGCTCTCTCATTCCTCTGACCCTGGTGCCTTGATGTATCCCAACTATGCTTTCAGAGATCCCAGCACCTACTCACTCCCTCAAGATGACATCAATGGCATTCAGGCCATCTACGGTAAGGTCACCATAAGGAACCAAGCAGCACATGGTGGTACCTGGAAATAGGCCCCCAACAGGCCCAAGAGCATCTCTCTTTGGACTTCTAGCACATTCTGTTCTCAGGGCAAGCTCAAACTGAACTCTGAAAGTTGCCAGCAATAAATGTGATATTAGCAAAGGAGGCCTTGGGGATGGAGCCTCTATCACTGCTTGAAAAAAAAAAAATGTGGGGAAGAAATGTACACGTCAATCCCCAGCCATCGTCTCTGGATGATGGGGAGTTTTTCTTCTTCATTTTTTTATGTTTCCCAATTTATGTAGTCTAAAAAAGCAGGACTGTACCTTTTCAATACTGCAAACCTGCTTCTAGATATACTTAAAAAAAAAACCTCACATAGGTCCTAAGGGGACAGATACAGAGCATGCTGAAGATGTTCACTCAAGTCTTACATATGGTGGTGGGAGTTGGAGGGCACCTAGTGCCATAGGTGGAAACAGCATTAGGAGTGTATATGGCAATAATATAAAAGGGTCTTCAAACCTTTGAGCTTTGTGAAGAGGAAACAGAATGACACTACTCTATAAGGTATTAATTAAATGACACAATCTATGACTTTACATAGACCTAAAATGTATAATAGATGAAGCAAGGCATTTTCAAGAAACATGCAAACAAAAAGGTATACAGTGAACATATTAGAATAGTTGTCTGAAGGAGAAGGGGGGACAGAAGTGGGGTGTGGTTAAAAAAATACATATTTTTCAGGGAGGACAGGAGGGAACTTTTGCCTGGTCCTAAGAAGTTCTCCCTGGGTAAAAACACAATATCTCTCATTCCTCTTGCCCTCCTGTTCCCTAGAAATGTGCAATGGAATGGAGTGAAATGGAAGAGAATCGAGAGGAGAGGAAGGGAATTAGATGAAGCACTCTCCCCTCTCTGGCAGAAGAGTACCATAAAATTAAGAATGACAACCAGGGGATTTTTTTTTGGTGATGGTTGAATTTCCAGGATCACTGAACACTAATCCAATTCCCTCTGTACCCCAACTCTCCCCTTCACCCCAAACACCTCCTTTGTTTGCTCACTGATGTTTTAAATTCCCTTAACTATCAGTTTAGCCCTTCATCTTACAATAACAAAATACATTACAATGTAAATTCTTACATAAAAGATACAGATAAAATTTGATCTATATTTGCAATGTAAGATAAAAGACAAGTATCAGCTATTTCCCTGGATGTGAATTTTGGTGGGAAGGAGGTTGACACTGAATGACCAGAAGTATCAGAGGGAGTAACCAAGAAGGGGGAGAGAATATTAGAAATTAAAGGGAGGAGGACAGAGATTTACATTTCTTTACTTCCCAACTTAACCTGAAACTGATCCTGAAAATCATCATTACTCTTGTTAAGCAAACAAAAACTTCAGAAGGGGCATTATACAGCAACTTCAGTGCCTTGTGGGAGAGGCTGGCAGTATTTCTCTTCTGCGAAGACCCTTCACCTTCCTGAGAAATAGCTCAAGTAAAAGCTAAGAGTGACGCTGGACTCATGCTTATAAAAACTCTTTTACCCCCAGGACCTTCAAATAACCCTATCCAACCTACCGGAGAAACCACACCCACAGCCTGTGATCCTCGATTGACATTTGACGCTGCCACCACGCTCCGTGGAGAAATACTCTTCTTTAAAGACAAGTATAAAGTGGAACTGTTCCTTCCTTTGACTTCTCTTACTGCCAGATCTTAAAACAGGACTCTATCTAAGTCTAATTATTCAGTTTTTCTTTTGAATTCTACACATACACACCTCATTGGAAGTTTTAGTGTTTTCTGGGTAACTCAGAACATACAAGGAAAAAAAACAACAACACTAAAGCATTCAGATATTTGGTGGTATAAATAGACATGGGCTATATTTGCTTGGGAACTTGATAAATGTGTTTAATCAACACCAAAACATCATTGAATTCATTCAAAATCAGCCAAGTATATAGAAGCTATCACATAGTTTAGCTGTGAGGCAAATCATCTGACATTAAAATCTTCTCTCTTTTTTCTTTTTTGCTATTTGTGAGTGGAATCACAGATTAAACAAATGTGTTTTTGCTTTTGTCAATGGCTACCTATATTTAATGAATATTGTAATGGAAGTATTAATGAAGTAAGATCTGTTAATGTGAGAGGACATTTAATTGCATTTGGGGCAGTGCCAAATCAAATAATATCACTCCCATGACCTCCCTGAGGAAGAGACAGTATCACCACAGAGCCTAGCCATGTGCTGGTCACTGTAGTAAAAATTGCATACATGATATAGTTATATCCTCCCAGCAATCTCATAATGGCCATTACTACCTGAGAATCACAGAAACTGACAACCTAGACTACTGTGTATATTTGCGTGTGGTACACTTTTTCTTGTGTCCTATTAGGTACTTCTGGAGACGGCATCCTCAGCTCCGACTAGTTGAACTCAATTTTATTTCTCTATTCTGGCCATCCCTGCCAAATGGTATTCAGGCTGCTTATGAGGATTTTGATAGAGACCTGGTTTTCCTATTCAAAGGTAACTTCTTAAAGTTTTCTTATTTCAGTTCTTCCTGACAGGAAGGAGCAAGGTTCTTTGTGGGTCAGGTTCTGAAGGGTAAGCCACAGAGAGCTTGTGTTGGCCAGGCCTTTGCCCATCTTGGTCACTCTCCACTGTGTGAATTTGAGCAGGTCATGCTCTCTTCAGGCTTCAGTATTGTCATCAACAAACTGAGAAAACCACAGTCGACCCTGTTTAGTATTTTCCATCCTCATCCTAAATATAATTTTCTAACATTTCTCAAGTTTATGATTTAGACACTATATAGAAGTCGCATGAGATAGAACATTCAATTGTGGGGCCCCGAATGTCAGGCTAAGAAGTCGGAATGTTTTATGGGTGTAGGGAGGAACCACTAGGGCTCTACAGCCCCATGAAATTAACTTTTCTACCCTCATCTTTCAAAGACTGTTTTTTTCCCATTTTTATTTCTTTATGGCTAATTATTCAAAGACCAGGAAGGAGTATATATTATCTCGTAGAAACTGAAGGACTTTATTTAATGTGTAACCTGAATCATGACAGGCAACCAATACTGGGCTCTGAGTGGCTATGACATTCTGAGAGGTTATCCCAGGAGCATGACCAACTTTGGCTTCCCAAGCACTGTGCAAGCAATAGACGCAGCTGTTTCTTATAGAAGGAAGACATACTTCTTTGTAAATGACCAATTCTGGAGGTAGGATAAACATTTTTCAATTATAAGTAGAAATCCTTGTTTCTCCACCCTGTCTACAAACCAATAAGAATCAGACATATGAAGGTTTGAAATATCTAGGTAAGATTTGAGAGGTTTTCATGAGACTAGATTCATTTTCACAAGATGACTGGTGTTACCATGGCTTTTGAAGTTTTTATTTTTATAAAATTAAAATGCCTGCACAATAGTATTGAGAATTTTGTGAAACAGAATGCATTCTCATAAAACACTAGTTTGAGATGCAAAGAAAGACATAGGCTAATTCTTATTAATAGTTAAATTCTGACACAAACAAACAAATAATCTCTTGATAGCCTACAGAATTTGGTGCCCAAGATGAACATATTATTTACATTTATGTATACACACATACACATACATACACACATATACTATGTAACAATTGATTAAAAATCCTTAGAAAATATGAACTCTTGTTTTGGGGAACGACTTTGTATCAACAATAAGAACCCTGTTTTAGAATTAACAATATCCATATGTTTAATAAATAAGTGTGTACCCTTAGATGAAATTAACCATTCCTAATTTCAATAAATAAAATACTGTGGAAACTGAAAGACAAAGTATGTGAGAAGGTCCTTTGTAAAGTTTTAATTGTATAATTAAAAGAAAACTGTTATCATTATAGTCTACATTGATATTAAATCATGTGACTTTTTTTTAAACCAGATATGATAACGAAAGACAATCCATGGAACCAGGTTATCCCAAAAGCATATCAAGTACTTTTCCAGGAATAGAAAGTAGAATTGATGCAGTTTTCCAGCAGAATCGTAAGTAAGGGGGAAAAGAACGCTACTAATAAATTTACTTATAATTTTTAAAGAGCACTTTTACATTTGGATACTGTATTAGGATGGGAGGGGGCAGGTGTCTTCTTTAACTGAAAACATCTGATCTCTTTTGCAAGCTAGTTCAATAAATTATCTCTTTTTTTGTAGACTTCTTCCTTTTCTTCAGCGGACCAAGATATTATGCATTTGATCTTATTGCTCACAGAGTTACTAGAGTTGCAAGAAGCAATTTGTGGCTTAACTGTAGATACAGTTGAAGCAAAATCAAATGTGTTCTCATCCAATTTCAAGATGAAAGGAAATCCGACTTGCATATCCATCATATTGTGTCCTGTTTATATTTTCCTCAATTCTAAGTAGTGTTTCACATGACTGTTTTCATTTGTCCTAGTCTCAGGGAAAATATGTTTGGAATATTACACAGCAGACCCTGATTCAGTCATCCACATTCCATCTAGTGAATCTATCACAAAGAGAAGGAAAGTAAGCCCTTTGTCACCTCAATATTCTGTTCACCTCATGTGCTGTTTGTTTACTTGATTATCTGAGTTTTAAAATTCACTGTTTCATTACTTGCTTATCTGACTTCAAATATCCCTGTTTCTTTAAACACATCTTACATATATCTGCTACATGAAATTTAGCCCTCAATTTTGATTAGAAATAACAATAATCAGCAACACAGACAATAACTTTTATCTTTACAAAAAATGTGGTGCTATTTTTCACTGTTGGAATGAAATAAGGATATAATATATTATAGGTTGATTGTCTCTTTCAAAAGAAAATATGTTGAAGTCTTAACATAAATGTGAGTTTACTAGGTTCTTTGCAGATGTTATTAAGTAAAGATGATGTCATACTGGATTAGGGTTGAGTCCTAAAATCATATTACTTTTATCCTTATAAAAAGAGGAGAGGGTTTGGGATATAGTTCAGTGGTAGAGCACTTGCCCAGCATGCACAAAGGCCCTGGGTTCAATTCCCAACACTGCTAAAAAGAAAAGTTGAGAGAGAGGAGAGACATGACCACATAGGGGACAAGACCATATAAAGAAAGAGCTTAGAGATTAGAGGGATGCAGCTACAAGGCAAGGTATGCCAAAGATTACCAGCAGCCACCAGCAGCTGGGAAGAGACAAGGAAGAAGCCTCCCAATAAGCTGCAGAAAGGGGACTCTGGCCCCGAGCTACCTGCTGGTTTGAGACATCTAGTCTTCAGGATTGTGAGAGAATAAATTTCTGTTGTTTCAAGCCACAAGTTCATTGTACTTTGTTATAGCAGCCCTAGAAAGCTAACGAAGTTCATCTGAACGTAAGAAAAGGAATCAATAAGGAATGTGGAAGTGAAGTCCCCACTGAGGATTACTAGGCATCTTCCCAGGAAGACAACCAAAAGGAGAGCTCTGCTCCCTCTCCTGCCTCCTTCCTGCACTCTCCTTCTAGAGTTCTAACAGATGGGCCAGTGGGTCTGTTGTTTCCTAATTCTTTACTCCTGGATACTCAGGAGGGCACACTCTACAGCTGACTGCACCAACAGAACAGTGTTGGGTGCAACATTTAATAAATCTTATTAAATTGAACTAAACTAAACATCAATACATCAATTTGCTAAGGATTTTTTTCTGTTAAGAACTTTAGGACATGTGGGGCCTCAATGTGTAGCATAGACACCAAAATCATTATAATATCAAACTTGCAGATATTAGAATGTAAAGCGGCTTATTAAATACTAAATACATGAACTGTAAAATATATTTTCACTAGCACATCCTCCTTTTTTCTCTGTTAAAGTTTTTAAATTAACATGGCATCTTATTCTGATTCAAAATATCTACGAAATCAATTCAAAATAAAGATTCTTATGTTAAATGACTGGTGATCTACTTTTAATTTCTTAAAATGCCACCACAGAGTTGATGCGGAGCATAAAAAAGAATAGAAAATTTTAGATACGTTTATTATTACTATATGTGTGTGTGTGTGATGTCCTCAAAAAACCTCCTCAAATATGTCAGCACATTATTTTCAACTTATTTTACAAGATGTTAAAAAAACAGAGACTAGTAGACACCAACATTCTACTCATTCATTCATTTATTCAGCAGGAATGAATCACCTACAAGTTCCTGGTGCCATGCTGGGGAAAGAGAGATCTATAACTAATTCATTGCATCCATGGAACAAGTACAAAAGGACCTATAGGAGCTGCACACCCTGTTTTTAGCTATAGAGTCAATTTCAGACTACTATGCTTTCTAAAATTTCCTATGATGTGTTTATGTGCATATAAATGAGGCTCATTTCCTCAGAACACCTCCTAACTGTGTAAGCCAATCATGACAGATTCTTGACCCAAACTTCATGTATACATTTTTGACATGAGAATTGAGTTGATAATTTCTTTAACGGTACTTCACAGATTCACAGGAAGTGAACAACAATATGAAATGTAATAAAGAATTCAAAAAGTATTCCTTTTTCCCCCTTTTAATTCTTTTCTTGCCAATGTGTGGTATCTCCTGGCTGCCCCATTGAAGTTTTATGTGAGTATATAAGATATAAGGATCTAAGCTTAGAATTAAAATAATGAGATTCCTTTTTAGTTAGGTTGAGTTTATTCAAAAGCAAAGCCTAAGTCAAGACCTTGGTGCAATGATTTTGGAGGGACAGGCATGGTCCCAGCAAGCAAGAGTGAGGTAACAGGGAAGGCAGAAAAGTCGATAAAAATACAGTACAGGTGTAGGTTGTAACAGTTTCTACTATGCTCCACCAGGGCCTCCAGAGAAGTCACCAGAACCCCTTCAGAGGTTCACGACTCAGATGGACACAGACCTAGAACAATCACCCTTCAGTCCCCAGTCCTCATTAGGTGAGAACTGTCCCTGAAGGTGTTTACAATTTACCCTTCTGGGCTGTACTCTCAGTTCCACAGAATCTCTGTAGCAGAAAGCAGAAAGACCCACAGCATGTGCTTATGGTTGGACTTTGTCAGAGCAAGGTGTTACACTAACCTCCCCACCTGCAACAATTCAATCAGAGGTGTGCGGTGGGCACCAGAGGCACCTCCTGTCGTTTTGTTTCAGGGAGATTTAAATGATGGGAAATGGGAAGAGTCCTCTTTGAAGAAACTTACCAGCCCAAGGAAAAAGATTCATAGATACTGACGCTGGAGAAATCTCAACATGGCAGAGGCCACTAATTACCAACCCTAATATCCATTCTCAACTTCCACTTTTGCTTTGAGTCCCCAATTTCATCAGAGGTAACAATACATCCAGCTAAAAGACTACATTTTATTGTCTTGCTTACAGTTAGACGTGGCCATGTGTTTAATTTCTACACAAAATGTGTAATTTAAATGTTGTGTGGAGCTTCTCAGAAGAGACTGAGAGTTTGCTTTTCTTTTCCCCTGCTGTCTATAATGCAGATTCTTTATAAAGCTAGAGCTAGAGCTTGAGAAGACACCTGGACCATGAGACATTGATTTAAGAGAGTGGAATAGCAAGGTGTTCTCTACATTCCCGATGAGGAGCTGCCGCAGAAGCCTTGGATCATGGAAGCTGGTCTTCTTTTATTTGAGGAAAAAATAAATTTTAATTTTATTAAGTCTCTGCTATTTTTTTATTTTTGTTGTGTTCAACTAAATCTCATTCTGACTAATACACCACATGAAATGTCTTGGACCTGCTCTGTCTCCCTGCTGGGAAGGTCATCAATTTGTCAGCCCAGCCCATGCACAGAAAAGTTTCCAGTGGGCTTTCTTATCTCACATTCCAAAACAGATTGTACAACACAAGTCACCAAGCATCTGAAAACAGACTCCAGTGTGAAAAACAGAGACCAAGAAAGAAATTTTAAGGAAATATAGACAATTCTGGGAGTAAAAGTAAATGTCAAAATAAACTAAGGAACACTTAATTTTAACATTCTCAACAAACAAACAAAAAAGAATAAAAGACAATATTTTACTTCCAAAAAAAATCACTTCAAATGCAAAAAAGTAAAACCAAATGTAAAAAGTTACTCCAAGAACTGAAAAGAACTCTTCAAAATACAATAGTGGAAATAAATATTCAATAGGTGAGCTGGATAGTATAGTAAAGGGCATATCAGATACCACAACTCAGTTCAGGAGGGTCAATCAATGCACATTCCAGGAAAATAAAAAGAGAAATGAGAGGAATGGATTATAGAAGAAATACTACATGAAACTTACTTCCAATAGAACTTTCCATAATAAAAAGGCCCATTTACTGTCCAATATTAATAGAAGACCCACAACAAGAGATGGTTATGAAATTTAAGAATAACTAGGTAAAGAGAAAATTTTTCAAATTATCAAGAGTCATAATAGAAGATTTCTCAATTGCAACACTGTATCCTACCAAAGCAGTGGAACTGGACCTTCAAAACTACAAAGTTCGGTACACTCACATTCTCAACCAAGTGTGAGAATGGAAAAAAAGGAATTCTTAGGCATAAAAGTATTCAAAATATTTGTTTTCCTTGCATTCTTTCTTAGAAAACGCCTTGGAGATAAACTCCATCAAAACAAGGAAGCAAGTCCAAAACTGGGTAGAAATTAGATCCAGGAACTAGGGATCTAACACAGAGTCATAACAGAAATTTTCTGGCTCATGACTGGATGACAGCTTTGCTACAAACCCAAATTGAAGGCAACAAAGTGTCTTCAAGGGGGAAAAATTGTATTGCTACATGTTCTATAGTGTTTGATAATTTGAGAAGGGTTTAAGAGGTGTTTTTTTTTAATTTTTAGACATTGATGGTCCTTTATTTTATTCATTTATTTATATGTAGTGCTGAGAATCGAACCCAGTGCCTCACACATGATAGGCAAGCACTCTACAACTGAGCCACAACCCCAGCCCGAGAAGGGTTTAAGAGTTCTATTGGAGGGGATCCAAGATGGTGGGGCCAGAGGGAGGCAGCATTTTGTGTCACTCTGTGACCCAGATCTCATCTAGTGGGAATACAGCATCTCTGAGAGTGATAGAGGATCCCTATACAGGTGCTCTCGTGCAGAAATCACCAGCGCTGTACCCCCGATGCATGGCTCCTGGCCTCAGCATTTCAGCACTCCCAGGCTCCTGACACCCAACTCACAAAGATCTAGCCAACACACAGCTCCGGATCTCTAGGTAGGATCATCTATCAGCACCGCTGCAGAACTCCCAGATGCTGCTCCACTCCCATGCAAGTCACTCAGCTGATTCATATCCTCAGCACAATGCCATCGCCAGGCTCTGGAAGCAGCCTGACTCCATCTTGGCTCACTTTCCTCACCATGTTTGGTGGGGGCAGCTCCCAGATTGGAACTCCAGCTGGCCAGGTACCTGGTTTCCAACCCCCCCTCTCCCCATTGGTGGTAATCCAGCACAGTAGCTTCCCAACACAAAATAGCTCTCAGTGGGACAGGTGCGCAGTGCTACCACAGGAGCTCCTGGGAGAGAGGTCCCTCAATTGGGAAGTGCTAAGGGACAGAGAGACAGGGCAAAAGTTTGGAGACTAACAGAGAGACCAGGAACTGGGAAATCTTTTATATATATATATATATATATATAAATATATTTATATATATATTTATAGATGGACACAATATCTTTATTTTGTTTATTTTTGTTTGGTGCCAAGGATCGAACCCAGCACCTCATATATGCGAGGCAAGCGCTCTGCCACTGAACCACAAGAGAGACAAGAGAGTTAGGACCAGGCACTCAAGGAGTACCAGTGGTCCCCAAAACAAACCCTTGAAGTGCAGTGTCCCTACTGGGACTGGTGGGTGCCACTCCTCACTTCCAGGTGCCCTGCATCAGGACCAGCCTTCCCACCCTGATTACCTTCACCATCCAGAGGGCAGAGACACCAGCTTACGACAGACAACCCCTCCTATTGGGAAGCAGGAAAGTTACAAATCTCTAAAACTAGTAACAATTCTTCCTTCGAGAATTTCTTTTCTTTTTTTTTTCTCTTCTTTCCTCTCCCCCTCTATCCTCCCGCCCTCACATTCCCAACATATGTGAAACCAAGAACTTTGCATGAATTAGGATTTTGAGAACCGGGACATCTGAATCATATAATATAGAAGTGTTGTATATGCCCTTTCCCCCCTTCTTTTATTTTTCTTTTCCCCTCCAATTTTTACTATTTTAACATCCTTTAGTTTTCTAAATTCATATGTGTTTCTTTTATGTACTCTACTGTCTTCCCATGTACTTGTCTACCCACAACTACTTCCTATCCATTCTCTTGCTACTAACCCTCTTCATAAGATTTCTCTTTCACACTTCCTAAGATATATTAACTCTATATCCTCATATCCTACCTCCTCAGCATATCGTCCTATGCCTCACCCCCAGTTCATTGTCCGCCATCAAAAACTGTAAACCCTTTTACAAACCTACTGATTATATTATAGATAGTAATCAGATTCAACATTTCTGTACATTGTGACCAAAATGTAAATGTCTTAATAGCAACAAATTGTTCATAGGTGGTATATTATTGATACTGGGATCTGTTAATATTGTTTTTCCCCACAAAAGAGAAGTTTTGGAACCCTACAGGAGCACTACAAA